ATGATCTGCATTTTGTGTGAGAACTTGAGCTGTAAATACACAGCCTCTTGGTCTGGTTCAGTCTTGGGTGTTGGTTCAGGTTCGTGGCCAGACCCATCCTGAGTTTGGGTGAGGAGTCCTGGATGGATGAGAGGGACACAAATTTATTTGTGTGATGATACCTTCAATGGAATAGCTGGACTTGCACTTTAAAATGCACACTTCATTGTGAAACTGTTACAAGAGTTCTTGGAAGCATTTTTATGTTGCACTTCATGCCTTATTAAACAATGCATCTTTGGACAGAGTGTAGGTTGGAATTCCCAATCTACCAGACAATCCTTCTGTGCTTGTCTTTTTTCAACCCTCCCCTTTTTGTTGGAGTTTCCAGAAAGGAATTGATTATTGGGATGAAAAATGGTAGGGTGTGGCAAGATAAGTGGTTCTTGCCTTCATCTTGTTTTCCTCAAATACTCAGGCTTTGGATGTGCACGTGTCACAGACTGGTGGAGCATCTGCAGTGCCCTCCCCTCATTAATTGTGTCCTGGCCATAGCTGCTTTATCTTTATGGGGGAGCAAATGCCCCAGCTCCAGGGACTGCCTGAGATGCTGGCCAAGCTTGTGAAGCCCTCAATAGCAGCCAGGTTATTCCAAAAACTTGGTGTTGCTGAGTGAGGAGAAAAAGGCACAGCAGCCTTTACAATTTTTTCCTCTGTGTTTCTTTGGGAAAGAACTGGTTTTGTTTATTTATCTTTTATAAGGACTTAAATATTATGGACACATGATATAAGAGATTGTTAACTGGTGTCCTGCCATAATACCATAAAGCAGACAAGTTCATGTTTCCCCACTGGTACAAAACAAAAGTCCTATTGACCCAGAACTCTGTGATTTTACTGCTCTCACTTCTATGTCAGATTCAGTCAATAGCTGTTCTAAAATTTCATGCCTAAAAACAAGAAGCCAAGGAGAGGTTTTGGAGGTGGCTTGAGCTGATTTATCAGCTGGATGTGATTGCAGGGGACAGTCTGGGCTTGATCCTGTCCTCTTCCTTCCACCAGTGGTGGTGCTGAGCCTGCTTTCTCTTGTGGTAGTTTCTCTTGCTGAGTCTGCAATCTCTTGTGGTAGTTGAGATACCCATGGCAGAAAACTGCTGCCTTTTACGAAATACACCTGAAGCTATTTACTAGAGAATTTAATTTGTAAAAAAGCAGAAAGGTTGAATTGTTTTCTTTTTTTTCCTTTCTGTTGGGTAACATTGACCTTGATAAGCAGTCTCAGTATCTGGAGATGTTCTTTTGCATGGAGATGTAATAAAGCCATTTTGGGATGCTCAGCTTGTGTTTAGGTGGGGACTTTGGTGTTGGCAAATTGAGCACATGTCGCTATTGGACATGAAGTAAGTACACAAATGCTTAGCAAGTTTAAAGGCCAAAAAAGAGAGTGTTTTATTTGAGCATCTGATATTTATAGAATTCCAGAGGTGACTGTGGATTGGAGAGTGGAATTACCACCTCTCCAGCCACACTGGTCAAACCAGCAGTCTATCAATTCTCTTCTCCCACAAAGAAGAATGCAAAATTATTATTTACATGAACAGTGCATGAAAACTCTAGTAAAAATATGTAAACAGATCAGAAGGCTGAAGTTTTATGAGAACTTTAAGACTTTCAAAAGGACTATAAAAAAAAACACTTTTAAAAATCAGGCCAACAAGCACATGCTGCTCACAGTGCCTGGTGGCAGGAGCAGAAGACATGAATGCCCCAATTGCATTCTTGCCCACAATAAAGTCACTGCTGGAGCTTACTGCAGTGATCCTGAGGTTTAACGGGTCCCTTACTGCATTTAACTCACATGGCTGGGTTATAATGAACATGTTAAAGTGTAAAAAAACTCAGCATTTTCCTTCAACTAAAACACAGGCACAGACAACATCCCATGTTTTTTAAAATGAGCCATTGCACTTGGGACTCTTTAACATTCAGAATTTAACAGGTGGGACTCCTCTCTTCCTCACGCATTTTTCAACTAATGAGGAACAAGTCTTTTCACTCTTTTTGTGTGTTTATTAATCATTTGGAGTCTCTCTGTTGCAGGGCTCACTTTGCTCATTGCTGGTTCCCTGCAGCTCGTGTTGACAGGTTCTTGCTGCCCTTGGAGAGCAGCCGTGGCTCAGCGTTCTGCTCTCGTGGAGAGGGTGATGCTCTGTTTGCTCCGAGCTGACACGTGCTCAGTCCGTGGTGTTTCTGTGTGTGAGTGATTCAGCCCTTGTTGTGCACTAGTAATGGAGTAGTTCTTGTCAAGGGATGGGGAAGATGAATGTGTTTTTCAAGTGCTGGCCCACGACTTGAAAAATCTGGATGCGCTTCAGGGCTTTGCTGCCAGCCTACTGCATGACCTTCAGTGAGTAGACCTCTCCTGTTGGGTTTGGAGAACGCTCATGGACAGTCTGCAAGGAAGGCCCTCCCTCCAGTCTGAGGGGGAAGCAGAGTGATGTTCTTTCCAGCAGGCAGTGTGCTCAGTCTTAAAAATCTTAAAAATTTTAAGGGTAAGGTCCAGAGAACCGGAAAGTTCAGGCATGTGTTGGGCACAAGGGTTTGAATTTCATCTGCCTCTCAAACAGGGTAGCAATTAGACAGTGTCTTCTCCTTACGTTGGGGGGTGGAAGGTACTGAGGTTCCTCCATACCACAAAGGAAGGTGCTTGAAATGAACATTAATCATCTGCCATTGGTTTATCTGTTACAATCTGACTAGAAAAGCCCATATGTTTACGTAAAAGCATAGCTTGTGCAAGATGCTGGTCACTGAGCTCGTGCATAGCCCATGAGTCCTTCTGCCATCCAGCTGGCCTTGAAGGTGGATGATGGGAGTGCTGTGAGTGGTGTGATATATGCAAGATGGGAGGGAGATATAAAAGATATAAAACAAGAAAAAAATATTTTGCTTGCTGGACAGTGCGGACTGCTGGGCTGGTCTCCCAGGAGAGCTGAGCAAAGTATGTATTGACACATCCATGGTGGAGCCTGGAGAGAAAGCCCTGCTGGGCATCAGGCACAGCGCAGCGAGGGGCTGGGTCGGTGGGACAAGTCTCATTTTTCTGGAAACAGAGATTCATCTCTTGCTTGCATGCTCATATTTTATAGGTAATTAGTTTATGGAGAAAACAGTTAGCTCAAGGATTTTGGACAGGTGTTCTTGCTGTAGAGAAATAGGTTTTAGAGGCATTTTCCATGTCATAAAGTTATCAAGAGTGGCTGAGATTGGCTGTGTAATTAGTGAGTAGGAGTTATTTTGGGAGATTCAAATCCTTTTCCAAAATGTTTTCATCAGCTCAGGGATTTGGGTCAGACCTTTTTCAGCTTCAGTTCATTTAACTGGGGGAAAGTAGGGGAATATTTAATTTCCTAACCCTTCCTATCACTGGGAAAGCACTAGAAGCAAGGACAAGACCATTCAGATTTATTTTTCCAAGAATTAACAGACTTCAAGTTTACAGACTTCCAGTTGCCTTGTACCGATTTACTAGCTGAGTTTTGTAACAACAAAAACACGTTGCAGACACACCAGATTTTTGTGGGTTATGGTGTTGTCCCCACAAGCCAGCTTAGCCTGGGTGGTGCTAAGGTAATGGTTCATCTTTCCTGCAAAGAAGGCAAATTTGACTGTTTTCCCAAGGGAAGAAAAAGTTTTGGTTCAAAGTAGATTTTGTATGTGAGGTGAATTAACATGATCAAAGTCAGTGGACTTTTATTTCAAATAAACATGTGATTCTCCTAATCAACCCTTTAAAAAGAACATCTGGGGGGAAAATGTCAGGGTTTTGTACATTTAATTATTCACTTGATTTTTCCCTTTTAAATATCTGATGAAGTTTCCGCTGTTTGAGGGTAGATAGGACTTTATTGACACAATTAGCAAAACAAATGATTATCACACCTTTTCCTTAGCCCTGTCCTATTTGATCTATTTGCTTGCACTTTCATTACTCCTTTGCTTGGTTACATTACACACAATGTTATCACCTTCCTGTGCTTCTGCAGCTAAAACAAAGTGAAAAAACCTCTTTGGCTCTCAGCTGCTCTCTGCTGTTTTCTTTTTACAGATGAACTACAAAGCAATGTCAGGCAGTTATTTGAGTTTCCTTTCAGCACTTGCTGGGCATTATATCCAGGTCTGGCACTTGCCTGTGTTTATGAGACAGCTTTCATATTTTAAAATAACAAACAAAAATCCCAGCAACTACTCCCAGCACAATTAGTAAGATCAGATTAAAAGAACTGAAAAAACAAACAACCAAAACCCCCCAGATCACGATGGGTTTACATATGTCAAATACTAGAATCTTTATGATTAATTCCTCGGGCATTTTGAGCCACTTTGCTGGGATGTGTTTATTTTCTCTGCAAGCAGAGGTGGGAAGTGTGGCTATGTCTGGTCGGAGGTCACAGTGAAGGGCAGAGTGTTTCTGCTGTGTCACTGGTGGGTTGTGCCAGACCTTTCTGTGGGTTGCTGGAGGTGTGATTCTCCTGGTGGTGGACAGACTTTTCCAACACTGAGGTCAGGAAGGCAGATGGTGCTGCTGGCCTGCTGCCTCACAACTCCTTCCATCCTTCTCCTCCCTAGTAGTGAAGATACCTTATTAGGTTTAGGAGGTGTGGCAAAAAGGAGAGGGGAGGAAAGCTCTGACAAAAAGAAAAAGAATAGTTTTGGAAAGATCTATTGGTTAGGTGAGAACTTCTTCCAGTTGCTGGCTTGTCCTCCTCCTCCTCCTTACACATCCCCTAGAACCTATGAGGCATCTGGAGGTGGTGCTCTATGCTGTGTCTATGCTCGCTGTTACATTAATTTAAATAAATTGTGCAAATAAAAAAAAAATAGAAAAAGAAAAAAAACAAACCCCTAAACCCTTCATTCTGTGCAAAAATAAATCAAAAGATTGGAGTTTCCAATCCAGTTTTTTGTCCAATGAGGTAAAAGCTGTTGTGTAATGGCCTGTCCCTTTCTTCTCTCTGAAGGTCCCAACCCCATGTGTCCCACTTGTCTGGATTAAAATTTGAAGTCTGGCAGTCTGGTTCTTTTCATAGCTCCAGAGGATTTTTGGGAGCATGGGATGCATGGACCTGTTGACCCACAAAACTCTGGAGAATGTTGGCTGTGGATAAAAACATCTGGAAGTTTCTACCATCTTTTTACCCTGTTTTTCCTGGATCAACCTGTGTCGTTTGTGGTCTTGCCCTGAGGATTATAGCATACAGTCACTTACTGGAATACCTTTCCATGCATCTTCTTGAAATGGAGCCACTGCTTTACCCAGCTGGAAGATATTTTCTCTTCTCCCAGAGCTTTTCCAGTGCAGCAACACTCCTGTCCATCAGGTACGTAAATGGTTTTCTCATTGATTCCCCAGTTTGCTTTATTGATCTTCAGTTCAGCCTTTCTTTTTTTTTTTTTTCTCCTTACTAGCTTCTGCTAAAGATGAAACTTTCCAAAGGCCCTGGTGCCATACTCTGAGGGTGACTTTTCCTTGTTGGGACAGGCCCAGTTTGAGATGTAGTTCTTGTGGAGCAGTAGTGTCAGCCTGTAGTGTGTTTGTAACCCCCAGTTGCCATCAGCCATGTGTGGATCAGCTTATTTGGCTTCATCATCTCATTTCAAAAAAAGATGACACAAGTGTTAAATACATTTTTTTCTCTTCTTAGTTCAACAGAATTTCTGCTGAAGAACATAATTTTGAGGATGACTTAGCCCATAAAAAGGGAGATGCCTTTAGCTCTAAAATTAAACTATTTCTATATAATATAGAAATGTATAACTCAATAGCATTAGTGATAACAACCAAATTTGCATTTTTAGAGTCATTTACAATGAATTAGATGTTTTTGTGGAGGTGACAAGTCTTTTTTCCATTCTTTCTAGCATAGAATTTAATAATTTTTTTGGTGTCTGGGTATCAACTTGCTGTGAAAATCATTCTTTTTGACACTTGTGCTGGCTTAGTCAAATGCTCAGGTGTGCTGGTGCATTGAACAGATCTCTCCTTCTACAGAATGGGCAAAAAATTAGCTCTCTGTCTCTTTTATTTTCACCATACAAAGAGGAGGTGCTGAAGGAAAAGGGCTGAAAATGCTTTGATATACATTTATTGTGCATTCCCCTCAGCATTTGTGAGGCATTAAAAGTTTCACCTTGCATTGTAAGCACAATTTTTTATCAAAGGAAGGAAATGAGAGGGGTAGGGTGGATAGAGCATGTTCAGTGGGAAATATAATCAGTTGCCTTGCTCTTCAGTTTGACCGTGACTCGTAGGGCAGATGGAGATGGTAGACAGAGACTGGGGATAAAGATGTTCTTTGCTTTATTAATGAGCAAAATCAAGTGCTTGCTGTGCTTGTAAGAGAGGCTGGAGCTAGCAGCAGGGATTTGGAGGTGGAGGTGGAAGCAGCATCCTGCCAGGCTGGTGGGGATGGTCCATGTCAAGCCCCTGCAGTGTAATCATGTGCCAAGGCAGAGTCTTGTCCAGCAGCACTGCCTGGATACTCAGTCCTTATGTGTTCTTGGATGGACTTTGCTCTGCTGCAGATACATCCCCTGGAACCAGCTCTTCATTTGCAGATAGTTTTCCTTCCTTAACCTGAATTAACAGTTTTCCCATAACCAAAATCTCTAGTGTTTTATTTAACTAGCTCCTAACAACTTCTAAAGCACCTAAGAAAGACAGATCACTTGCAGTTGTTCTTTTTCTCTACAATTAAAGCAAACATCATTGGTATTTAATTTTTTTTTGTGGTCAGCTGTTTGATAAAGACACTGCAAACCAGATCTCCCCCTGTTGCTGTAAGATGTGAAAAAGTCCTTTACCATTGCAGTAGAATGAGCTTTATCTTTTATAAGTAACTGGGACTGAATGGGGCATCAGTTGCTCTGCTCTGGTGCTGCCAGGCCCTTTGGTGCTTCTGGACACTGAACAAAACCTGCCTGTAACCTGGATAACCCAGAGCAGCCTTGGGTGCTTGACCTCTGCATTGTAGGGTCTGCACTGACAGTGAGCGAGGAGAAAAGCCATGGTAGATGTACCCTGAATTTTGTGTTCTGCATTGCTCCTTGCAGTGTGAATCCCTAGTCAAACACAGTCTGGCAAGCACCTGGCATATCTGGGATACCTGGGAGCAGCCCAGGAATTACAGCTTGGCCAGGAATAATGTTTCAGTTGTAAATGTGCAGGAGGAAAAATCATCTCAGGTTTTCTTCAGAGCAGATCTCACCCTGCATAGATTTGGGGCAGCTTCAGAGGGTAAGTAGGTTAAGGGCTTTGCTGTTGGTCAGCGTAAGCATCCAGTCAGGGGGGCTGCTGGCTGCATCCCTAAGTGCTAATTAAAAGATGAACTCCATTAGCATTCAAGATATCTGCTGGTAAAGTAGCAAAGATTTGCTTTGAGTCAGATTACAGATCCTTGGATCGAAACGTCCTTTAGGGGGTTGGTCTGTACACAGATGCATGTTATTAATAATAATTTAAAAAATACAGAAAGCTTCTATTTGGCTGCCTCTGAGGGTTATGTATGTGGGTGTGTGTTTCAAAAGCACATAACTGATTAGAAAAATCATTGGTGATCTAAGTCAGTATTAAGGATGGTTGGATGACAGTAAAAAGCAGCCCTGGCACATTGCAGGGATGTTCTTGTCATGACTAACCCCTCTCACCCTCACCCCAGTGGAATTTTTCAGTGCCCAGCACAGACCAGCACTGAAATTGCAGGTTTGCAGAAGTTTTTAAATGTCTCCCCAGCTGGCAGCAAATTAAGGAATTGCAAGTATTTATTGGTTTAAGGATAAAACATAACCTTAAAGCAATAAAAAAAATGACAATGAGGCTTTTTAAAGGGAGTCTTACTTTCTTTATGGTTTTGTGAGTCAAATATGTCAAAGCCTGACAGAGGAAGAGGTTTTAATCTACAGGTGCTGTCTCTTGCTTGATGGTTTCCTGCTTCTAAAATTACTTCCAGGTTTTTTGGAATTGGGGCTGAAGCTAGTTTCAGCTTTCAGTTTGTGGGCAACCTCACCACTTCAGCAGGCTGGATTTGTGAGGGTAAGGGGCATCAAATGCTGGTGCTTTTAAAGATTCTTATTTTGGCTGCAAAAGTCCATTTGCCACTTTTAAAATATTTATAGCTGAATCTTTGGATTCGCATCTTTTGCTTGAGGAAAATGCTGAAGCTAGCGATGCTGAAATTTTGCTTTGATCTTTATTCCCCTGTCCTGCATGGGAAGTTTGGAGAAGAGCGTGCTCAGGGTGAAGAATGGTCAGTCCTGCACAGGCTGACTTTTGTTCATCGTGCAGCAGTGACAGTCAACAGGAGCAAAGCCAATTAATGTTGGGTCTCAGTCCTTAGTTTATGTTAAAAACATCAACCCCTTTGGAAGCCTGCATTTTCTCTCCTTTAGGGCTGTCTCTCCTTTGGAGCACTTATTGATTGCCATTTTTGCCCAAGCTTAGTGCCCTTACTGCAGGGCATGTAATTGGAGATACATTAGGCCATGTTTTTGTTTATTTCTATAAGTAAATAAATATTTATATATTTTTAAATATCTGGTATAATCCTCCTAGTATGTCTTTAATGATTTTCTATTGATTGCTTTAAGACCTTGTTTGGAATTTTGTAATTAACCAAAGCATCCCATCATTACTTTTAGAATAAAAATCTTTCGTTATGTGTGATCTTTGCTTTTCCATGAGCACCTGCATCTGCAGTGCTGACATACTATGCATAGTAAATACTGAACTATCTGCTGATTTACTGTGCTCTTCAGGTTGCAAAGAAGCAGTGACCTAGCACGAGACATATTGTTAATGCCAGCAGGAAAACAAGAGGTGTCTGCTTGGCTTCTGAATCCTTTGTATTGCTTTGAGGGGTTCTGTGCAGAACTGAAGGTGTCAACAGGCTGTTTTCTGGTGCTCCCAGCTGCTGGGCAGTGTTATGAGGATTAGCATTGAGGAACTCTTAGCAAAATTTGTCTCATGCCACGAAAATGTAAAGCCTCCAAAGCTGGCTGGCATCCCAGGGCTGTGAGAGGCCCTTGGAGGGGCTCTTGGTAAAGGTGGCAGGATTTGCACCATCCCAAAGCTGCGAATGGGACATGATCTGAAGACTTTCTGATTAAGTTTAATATTTTCCAAGCTGGTTTGGTTGCTTACATAGGGCAGCAGACAAAAACTGCTGAGCAGGAATGGCTGCTATGAGGCCAGTCTGCCACCATGGGAGGGAATCTGCCTAATCTTCTTGTCCTGCAGTATAGAGCCCAGTTCAGAAACACAAAATGCCATTTTGGGCAATATTTTATTCTCAGGGTGTTTCCTGAGCTGGAATCAAACCCATCCTCCTACCCTGGCAGTGTTTTGGGTATCCTGGGATTTTGCTGGCTCTACTTTTGCAGGGTACCATCATTGTGCTGCTTCCTCTTTCTCTTTGGAGTGTCAAAGCCAGGAGGTCAGGTTAGAGACCTGGGGCTCCAGCAGCAGAAGTAGGATGTGCAACAAACAAAACTACCTGTATTCATAATGATTATTGTAGACAACTTGGGGAAGGTGGCACAGCTGTGTTCCAGCCCTAGTGCCTCTGGATCTCTTACTATCCCAATTAGAAGTGTATCTTCAGCCCAGGCTCAGCAGCCCAGTTTACCTAGCTGGGGGCATCCCTGAGGAGCTGAGTGATGCTGGAGACCCTGCACTACCCTGGCTTGGCCCCCTCCACAGCTTGGATGTGCCCTCCTGCCACTGGCAGCATTCTTGTGGCACGTGGATGTGGAATTGCCATCATCCTCCCCACTGGCACCATCTCTTGGCTTTTATTAAGCTTTTGCAAAGAGCAGCTCTTTGTGGTGGCCACTGTGCTGTTTTATCCAGGGCTCCATTTGCATCAGGTGGTTTTTGTTTGACCTTTGCCTTGCTTAAAAATTAACTACCAAGGTACTAGGAAGAGAAGTCATTTCCCAGATAAGTATTTTCCCTGCTCTTCTGTAGTTCATGGGGGAGCTGGCTTACTCTGCCTGTGGATGACTAAGGAGGAAATTCTTTTTTGGTTAGGATAATGCTGACAGTTCACTGGAATTTTTTTTATCATGGGTTTATCACTTCCTCCCTACAAATTCTTATGTGCAGGGCAGTAAAAAAAAATAGTGGTGACCAGAAGTTATGGAATTTGCCTTCTGTGGAAAAGATGCTAAACAGGTAAATGATGCTGTCAGGTTTGCCATGGTTTATGTGGAGGATTTGCTTCATATCCAGTTATATAAACAGGCTGGTTAAGATACATGAATATTCTAGCAGCTATCATCATTCAAATATGTTTTTTTAATGTTAGAGTTAATTAATGCTCAT